AGTTTTTGAAGTATTTTGTTTTAACATCCACAAAATATTATAAAATGACCTAGGTCATAGGTCATTTAGCTTTTAAAGTGACTTAATGACTAGTGACCAGTCATCAAAGTCATTTGGGTCATTTCAGGTCACTTGCCATCACTGGTCCCAGCTATATGTCCCAACTATATGTCCCAACTATGTTCCTTATATGTTCCAAATATCTCATTTGTCCCATCAATATCCCATCAGTATCCCATCAGTGTCTTAACTATATCCTATGACAACATTGGCCTTAGAGGTCCAATGTTAATGAATTTAATATTGACAATCTCACATCCTTAAATTATTCTGTAGCTGCAATTAATGCCATTCATACAGGTGGTAATGAAGCACTAAAGTGGATTCTGATGTTACAAAAGACCTTGATGCTCGCTTGCTATTGACAAGAGATGCGAAAGTTACGCTTAAGACCAACTTATAGACTGAAGCTGGTTTGATCAATGGTTCTATAGGTATAGTTGAAGAGATCATTTTTGATGAAAATCAGGATCTGTCTTCTTTTCCTAATGTGGTTCTGATAGAATTTGATAAATATTTTGGCCCTACTGTTATGACAACTGAAGGTAAAAAACTGGTTCTGATTATATCCGTTAGACATACATGGGATGAAAAAAAAGTCCTTGCTCACGTTTGCAAATCTCTATTTGCCTTGCGTGAACTGTGATGATACATAAAAGTCAGGATTTGACGATGTAAAAGGCTGTTATAGATCTTAGTAAAAAGGAGTTTGCTGCCAGTCTCTCGTTTGTGATAATATCCTGTGTCTGTGCTTTTGAAAATATCCTCTTTAATCCATTTTCGCTTGACAAACTCCAATATGTTAAAACTTATAAGAGGTTACATGAGAAGATGACTGAAGAGAGAAAATTAATCTCTATAATTTCTCAAATTTGACATTTTTGTTTAATAAAATAAAATACAAATTTATTAGTTTTGTTAAAATACAAAATGAAAAGAATCTAATAACTTTAATTCATCTATTAAATAGACTTTTTTTCCCTTTTTACAGCTTTTATAAATATAAAGAGAATTTTTGTTAATTGATCAGTTTTTCAAACATTTATTTAACTATTTAGAAAAGACCAATGTGACGCAATTATAGAACATGATTAAATTATTCTAATAAAGTTAAAAATTGATAATTGTTAATTTAGTGTAGCGATACAAACATTTTAAGTTTGATTAATGCTTTGAACGCTTTAACAGTTCCTGTTACCTAGTATTATATATAATATAATACAAAAAAACCCAGCCTAAAATCTTGTAAAATTAAATATTTTTACAATTACTAAAGTTTAATAATAAAACATTGTTATTTTTTTTAAAAAAAATAAATTAATAAATTAATTTTATAGTATTAACCTTTTAAAGAATTCAATAAAATTATTCACCAATATCTGATGAATAATCATATAATTTTATCACTGCTTTTACTTGATTCTTCATGCTTGTAACTAGTGATACCTAACAAAATTACCTTTCTTAATATGACAAAATTGACAAAACTGAAATGACGAAACTAGTTTTTTATTAATGACGAAATTATTTTACTTAATTGCCGAAATTATATTTAACTTGATCTAAATTCCTTGAATTAAAATATATTAAAAAATATAATAATTTTATATTTATTCATATAAAAATATTAAAGAGACGAAACTTTTGACGAAATTACAATTTTTCAAAAAAGAGTTTAGTCAGGTATCACTATTTGCAACTAACTTTTGATAAACCTCACATGAAATTTTAACCAGTATTTCTGAAGAAGTGTCTCTAATTCTCCAGATTTTTTGGATGCTTTTATTTAGATTAAATATGATGTTTAAGCTCTAAAAATGTTCAATTGAGTTGAGTTTTGGACTTTGACCAAGTTATAGTAGCAAAATTATTTCAAATTCTTCAATAAAAATTAAGTATTTTTGTACTAGTATGGATTGGTATCTTTTATTGAAACAAATATTCATTATTATTCTCTTCAAACTCTTTTTAAAATGATATTACATAATAGGTAAGAATCTTTTTATATATCTTTCACTATTAATTCAGCCATTTATCCTTACTAATAGACTCAACCTATACTAAGAAATACACCTTTACATCATAATACCACTTCTACTATATTTAACAGTAGGAACAAGACAATTAATATTATATTTTTCTTCTTGAAGATACCAAACTCAAGATTTTCTATCATTTTGAAATAATGTAAACCTAGATTCATTACTTCATACTACCTTTTTCTAATTATCTATGAATTATAAATGTCTTTTACAAGTCTAATTTAAACAAATTTTTTGATTGCGTTCACTAACATTAGGCTTTCTAAAGGAAATATGACTATTATATCCCATTTTATACAATATACTTTTATAGTATTTTTATATATTACTTTTTCTATAGATTCAGCAAAAGTACTTACTATTTTATTTACTAGTTCATGTCAATTTTGAGTAATAATAGTTTTAAGATGTCATTTGTCTCTTTCAGTTAACATTTTTATCCTTTTACTTCTTGAAGCAATACTAACAGCACCTGTTTTTTTATACTTTGATGAATAATAATTATTCCAAAGCTCATTTTTTTTGAAATGGTTCTTTTTGAGTCATCAGTTTCATAAAAACTGATAATCTTTTTACATTCAAAATCTGTAAGCTCTTTGTTTTTAACTATTTTTGTGAAAAATAAAAATGAAAAAAACAAAAGAAAGATATATATAATATAACTTATTTATTGATTATCATATAGCACAAATTTTAGATTATATAAATTAGTAATTTATTTATCACAGATCATTTGCAAATAATAAGAATAGTTCTAAACTTTTTGATCAGAAGTGTATCTTACATTTAAAATACTCTTAAAGAGAAAGGATTCTTGAAAAATTCTCTAAGTTAGATTACTCTGAAGGTGAGAGGCAGTATTATTTTTTTAGTATTTTCTTTTATTATCACAGCCTATCTTAAAAATTTTTACTTCACTTGATTTATTATTAATAATACTTAGCTTAGTTAATATAAAAGTCAGAAACTTGATCAGGTAGATAAAATTGTTCTTCATATTGATAAGATAAAGATGTGAAAAATTCAACGAATTAAATTCAACTTCTCAATGATTCTTTACAGTATTAATCTTTGGTCATACCAATTCAAAAAAAACTAATGAAGTCATAAACCTATTATTAGGAAACAAGCTATATTAAATGTTTAATGCTAAAAAAAAAGGGACACAATATATTAAAAATGATGACTTTGTTTTAATAGGTTTAATAGGTTATTATCTCAATAAGTCAAAATATAAGTATTTTAAATCAGCCTATCAGATAATTACAAATAGTCCAAAACTATATTGTGAAAATATCACATTTCAATAAAACCTAATAAAATCCTAAAGTTAGATTCATTCTCTCCAGAAAAAGATGCGGTAATTATATTCGAAATGTATGTACTAATTTAAAGAAAGTCTAGAAAAAGATTGCTTATTATTTTACTGATAAATGCTATAACAATATTAGTAGTATTTATATCTTTTAGTGTTTTTTTGATTGTCTGAAATTAATAAAAAAAATTAAATTATGTTATATTCTTTAATGGATTTACTTCAGAAGAATTAAGCAGAATTCTTAACCTATATGCTTATGATTAATATAACATATATAAAGATATCATTAACTATTTGGGAGGTGATCAGTAGAAAAAAGGGAAATCCAAAATTTTTGTTAATTTTTATTATTAAGCTAAATTTGTGCATATGATCAAGATCAGCCAAGTAGTCCAATAATATAAATTTTGACTAAAATTTGAATTTTTCTTTTTTTACTAACCACCTCTTATTTATATAATCAAAATTTTATTATCTTTAGTTTAATAGTGCCTTCAAACCATCTTCACAAACTATGGGCTGGATGGGATTAAATTTTTGAAAAAAATGTTCAAGCTAATGAGTAGAATCTGATTTCGCAGATATCAGCTTTTTTTTTGCTTCTTACATCTATATTTTCAGATCCTCAATCTTGTATTATAATTTCTTATTTACCCTAATCTACTTATTGTACTCTAGATTTACATCTTACATAAACTTTTTGAAATTCTTTTATTATAATTAAGCTATTCTTCAGTATATATAATTATCTGACATTATAGATACTCATGAATCTTATATAGAAGATATTAATAGAATCAAAAGTAGGACCATATTAACATCATTTATACGATCTTAGAATAAATTTGCCATTTTCCTATGTCTTAAATTTAGGTAACAAGGTAATATAATAACTTTGACACAACTATTTGGTAAGTTTATGATGACAATCATTAATAAGATAACAGATTTTTTATATGTACAAAACATGATTTTGTAAAGTTTATAGCATTTTCGTTTGTATACTTTTTTATAAATAGAATCATATTTGCTTTGAATTTTGTTATATATGTGAGAAAACTGATAAATTCTACTAATATTATTTTTGCCTCATTCTATAGCTTATCTATTTGGATTAATATCCAGTTATAAATGTCTGAATACCTAGATCTAGAATGATTATTACATTTTCTGATTGTATAGGATCTTGATTTTCAACCTATATCTTAAGTGATTAAGAAATACAAAGATAAAATTCTCCAAGTCGATTTATCACAAGACATGTATCATAATGGAGCTCTGCTAGGAGATTTTTAGCCGACTTCATCTTATAAAGAAATGAATAAACTCCTTTAGATTCACCTAGTATTTTGATAGAACTGTAATAGATTGTTATCAATCTTTTTAAATGAAATTTTATCTTAAATTTTGTCTGTTTTGCAACAAAATTTGTTGAATATGATTTAAGTAAATCATTTATTACTTTATTATGAATATCATAAGAAGTTTCGAGAACCTATTGAAGTTTAGTATTATTGAAGTTTATAGTATTAAGACACTATGCTCGCAGAGCTTTTTTTGTCCGCATGATATCCTCTTTTTCAACTGCTATAAGATACTGATTGTAAGTCCAATATACTATTCCCATCCAGCATTTGAGTTTCAACTTCTCCTCTTACATAGGAAAGAGATGAATATGTCATGTCTTGTCTGCTAAATTCTTGGAACTCTTGTTCTTCTTAGACTTTGACAGCTTCTCATCTTCTTTTATGATTGGTAGTGAAACACGTTCCATTATATCTTGTTACAAATACTGTAATAATCAAGAGCAAGTCTTCTGCAAGTTCTCTGGCTTTACTACTTTTAGCACTGATATCCGTACTGAGTATTATGAGCTAAGTCCCAATTTTCTTAAAGATCTATTTCACAAGCTTAAATCCAAATCAGCACAATCGGTCCTAATAAAAAAAGTTAATAAAATAATAGACAATAAAAATCAAAGTAAAAAAAAAATAAACCTTTTGGATAACTACCAATTCTTTGATTTTTCTCGTGTATTCATTCTAAAAGGACAATAACCCCCTGCGTTTCCAATTAAGTCCCGATCTGATATCACTGATGATTTCATATTCTGGGTAGTAGTCTTGTTCTGAGCCAGGTTGTAAAAAGGTTGTTTAAAAAAAAGGTGATTTTTGTTTAGAAATGTAATAGAACCGTTTTTATTTAAAATTACTTTTCCTTATACTTGATATATAATGCGGAAATCTACACAAAGCTATATTTATCATCAAGTAGATTAGTAATACGAAAAGTGTGGTTTATTCGAGAATGTTCGAAATTGAAGTAATGGTAAGAATTTAATTAAAATACAAATTACATTTTTTTAACCCTTAAAATTATTAGATAGATTTAGATTACATAAAACAATTACCCAAGATGGAAAAATGTGAATCGGTATCACAGCGATTAGATAACCAAATATCAGCTGATCGAATTATCGTAGATTTCTCAGTAGCACAAAATAATATTAATGTAACTTGATAAAATAACACAAGACAATGGTAACCAAAACCTTTTTTTTTCTTAAAAAAAAAGTAACGAATTATATACAGTATAAAAATGACAAATTTACGCGTTTCATTTACATCAGAATCTCCAGGAAAAGTCCTAATTTCTTCCGAAACTACTTGGTTTTCGTTATACCCCTTGTTTTTAATAGTCCCAATATCTTTATTATCATTTATCACATTATTTGGCACCTATAGATTAGTTTTACTTAGAAAACGAGATTATATCCCGTTAGCATATAGACATCGTTTGTCACCTTTATCTAGAATAATTTATGGAATAAGTGGTTTTGTGACGCTAACTTACCTTGCTGATTGTGCTATTATCATCTTTAGAGCATTAGAATCTAGAATCTGGACTTCAAGTTATATTGTCTTTTATGATGTTGGATCATGGACAGCTTGGGTTTTAAATTTGTTGTTGATGATTTATGAAAGAAAAAAATTAGGAAAATGGTCATCTATCAACTATTGTTTCTATATTTTATCACTTTTTACCGAATCCTTGATTTTTTATTATTGGATAATTCAATTTAAATCTAAAAAACCCGGTATATTTTCAATATTTGTATATTTTTATACTGAATTTAATTTTATTAACAGGTTGTATTTTATTTATTACCCTTTTTAGGAATTGAAGTGTCGTATTATGATCAAGCTTTTTTATATATAATAACAACTCGTTATATTGCTCTCATAATTGCATGTTTCACTTCATTGATTCATATCCTTCGTTCTTCCTCAAACCGAGAAGGTCTTGAATCAAGCCGAGGTCTTCTTGGTGATAATACATCCTATGGCACCTTTTCATCTAATGAAAATGATAACCATACAGATCAACCACAAACGCAACCTGAAAAGGGCGCTTTTGCAGGATTTTTTGAAAAAATGAAAAAACTTTTACCTTTTTTATGGCCTAAAAATAATATTTGGCTACAAACTTTAGTTTTTATTTGTTTTGGTCTATTAATAGCTGCACGTATTGTAAATGTGTTGGTTCCACAACAACTAAAGATAATTACAAATGAATTGGTTGGTGAAGATGGTAACCCACGTAAGTTATGTTTTAATGTTTTAGTGTATTACAAAATAAAAAATAAACTTACACATAAACGAATGTATAAATAGCAAGATTTGTATGGAGATCCATTGCGTTCTTTGTATTCCTTAGATTTTTGCAAGGTGGTGTTGGTTTAATTCAAGCATCACAAAATTATTTATGGATTCCTATCGGCCAGGTAAAATATATATATATGTATATTGTTTTTCATCATCGTTATATTTAAATAACTTAAAATGATATTTTTATAATAATTTTAGTATACAACTCGTGAAATTTCAGTCAAAATGTTTGAGCATTTGCATGGGTAAATATTTTTATAATTATAAATAATTGTAAGAATTTTATACTTACGCTCAAATTTGTTTAGGCTTTCATTGGCTTACCATATAAATCGTAAAACAGGCGAAGTTTTACGTGTTATGGATCGAGGAACGAATAGTATCATTTCGCTACTTAATCAAATATTATTTCAGATCTTTCCTGTCATTGTTGACATTTCCGTAGCTGTCATATATTTTATTGTTGAATTTGGTTGGATGTTCGGTGTCATTGTATTTGCTACGATGGCGAGTTATATTATTGTCACAATTTGGATTACTGAATGGAGAACACAATTTAGACGTGATATGATTGAGACAGATAATGATGCACGATCTAAAGCCGGTTTGTGATAATTTAATTGTTTTAAATTATTCATGAAGATAATATATTAACTTATTCCATTTGTATTTAGTGGATTCACTTTTGAATTTTGAGACCGTCAAATATTATAATGCTGAACAATTTGAAGTCAAACGATATGATGATGCTATTATCAAGTACCAAATTGCTGATTATAAAGTATCAGCATCGCTCAACATGCTTAATCTTAGCCAGAATTTGGTTATTACTGTAGGATTGTTGGCAGGTTGTTTATTATGTGCTTGGAAAGTAACTATTGGTGATTTTGGAGTTGGTGATTTTATTCTCTTTATCACTTATATCAATCAATTATACGGACCGGTGGGTTACTGTTATATAATGAAATTTCATTTTTTAATTTTTTTTAAAAAAATATAATTATTAATTTTAAATGGTTATTTTGATTGTAGCTTAATTGGTTTGGTACATATTATCGTATGATCCAACAAAATTTCATTGATATGGAAAAGATGCTTTCATTATTTAAAGAACAACAAAGTGTTCAAGATTTGCCCGGAGCAAAAGACTTAAAAGTTACCGAAGGATCAGTTATTTTCGGTAACCTATATTTTAAATTTAAAAATAAATTTCTTTCTATGAATTCTTTCTTATTTTGACATTTCTTCATTGTCTTAAATTCAGAAAATATCGGTTTTTCATATGATCCAAGAAATTCGGCTCTTAAGGATATTTCATTTGAAATTCCAAAAGGCAAAACGGTCGCTTTAGTAGGTCCTAGTGGTGGCGGGTAAGCATAATAAACATGACCGAAAATTTTATAAAAATGTCTATGATTATTTATTCTTAACAAATTACGTAGAAAATCAACAATTCTTCGACTCCTTTTCCGATTCTATGATGTTGGTTCAGGAAGGATATTAATAGACGGACAAGATATTCGTCTTGTCAAACAAGAAAGTTTACGAAGAAGTATTGGAGTTGTACCACAAGATACTGTTTTATTTAATGAAACGATTTACTATAATATTCATTACGGAAATGTGAACGCAAGTGAAGAAGAAGTTTATAAAGCTGCAAAAGCTGCTCAAATTCATGATCGTATTTTAAATTTCCCAGATGGTTTGTATAATTATGATATTCAGTATATGTTTAAAACTAATATTAACTCAGACTTTTATTATGATAGGCTATGAAACACGCGTAGGAGAGCGAGGGTTGCGTTTAAGTGGCGGAGAAAAACAGAGAGTTGCTATTGCTAGGACTATGTTGAAGGTGATTTAGATATTTATATTCTTATGAAAATAATTATTTTATTAATTTAATTAAAAATTTTTTTCTAACCTTTTTTTTTTTTAAAAAAAAAATATTAGGATCCTCCAGTACGTTTTACATGATCATCAATATTTTGAACTTTTGTTAATACTCGTTAACTTAAAATTTCTAAAATTATTAGATCATTCTTCTCGATGAAGCCACATCTGCTCTTGATACTACAACAGAAAGACAAATTCAATATGCTCTTTCAAATATGACAAAAGATCGCACAACGTTAGTTATTGCACATCGACTGAGTACCATTATTAATGCTGATTTGATTCTTTGGTAAGCTATTATATTATAAGTTTTGTGAAAATTAGAATTTGTAATTAAAATTATTCATTACAATATTTTCGTAAATTTATTAGCATAAAGGATGGTCAAGTTGTTGAACAGGTAAAAAAGAAATGACAATTCATAAGCCAATTCATTATTTTATACTTCTATGAGTTTATAAATTTTATTAATTAAATAAATTAGGGATCTCATGATGAACTTATCCAGAAAGCAATTGAAAATGGAGGAGAAGGTAATTAAAAGTTTATAAAAGAATTTTAATTTTAAATTTTTTTTTTAAAAACAAAATATCATTTTTTTAGGGGTATATTATGAGATGTGGCAGAAACAACTAAGAGATGAATCAGAAGGTAAAATTATTGGAGAAAATGAAGGTTCAAGTGGAGAAAAAAAGGATGATAAACCAAATTCAAAGGAAAATGAACCATCTTCACATAACGTTGGTCATGGTCATGGTCATGGCTAATATTTTGTATTTTTAGTAAATGTATCATTAGTTATATAATAAATGCTCATAAATAATTATTATTTTCATTATGAAAGGTATTTCTTTTGTGATAATTAAATTTGGTTAAATAGTTTTAATAATAAAAATAAATACAATAATATTATTCTTTATAAGATTATTTTATTAATAACATTAAAATGATAAATATTTTCTAGCATTTTAAATTTCATTTAAATATATATTATTAACAAATAACTAGAATAAGAATTATTAATAAATTAATATTATTTTTATAATAAGAAAAAAGTCAAGTTTTTGATGGTTTTTTTTTATAAAATATCAATAAATTTTAAAGGTTATAATGATTTTAAAGATTTAATATTTAAATATTTATAATAATCAAAAATAAAATAAATCAAGTAACTTTAATAAAGATTTATTATTTTTTTTAATTTTTAATTTTATTATTTTTTTTAATAAATATTATAAGAATTTATAGAATATAAATATTATTATTTATAAAGATTTTTTTTTAATAATTTTAATAATTCAAATTTAAATTATTATTTATAAAATATTTTAATTATTAATAATATTTTTATTTTATTATTATTCCTTAAATATTAATTTAAAATTATTTATTAAAATTAAAAAAATAAGATATAATAAGATAAAATTTAACTTATTGGTTTTATTTAATTAAATACACTAATAGTATTATATTTCTATTTTTAGCATTAATAAATCATTAAGTTATATAAATTTAAAATATTTTAAATTTTTAATTTTTAAAAATAATTTATATTTAATTTTATTAATTTATTGGATCTTCAAATAAAAACATATATAGCAATAGTATTTCATATTTATAATTAATAAATAGTAATTTAAATACTTATTTATTCCTAAAAAATTATTAATTAATAGCTTTTTTTACTTAAAAATATTATAATGTAATAAGTAATTAAAGGTCATCTGATATAATAGATCATATGATTTTTATTTTATCATATAATCTGACAAATCTACTGATTCTAACCTGCTAGATATATTAATAAATTATATATACCTAATATGCAAGAAATAGTAGATATGTCAAAATTTATTTTATTATCTATTTTTATATTTATTATTTTTATATTATCAAATTTCTTATAAATAGTATAGCTTTAGAACTTTGTTAATTATAATAGATCTTTAGTGAAGAATTTACTTTAATTTTATTGATAATAAAATGTTACTAAAAATACACTTATATTAAAAATAAATACAATTATAAAAAATTCTTTTACTTAATAAAACTCTAATTATTTAAACCATAATTATATTTATTTTCAAATTATACTTTTGATCATATAAACTAAAGCTATTTATAAACACTTGTTCTATAAAATCTTAAACTAAATCCTTTTTAATCTTATGTTAATACTAATTTTCAGTCATTAATATTATAAGATAACAATAAATTTTTTATAAAATATTAATATTTTTAAAAAAATATTTTAAAATAATTTTTAATTAAAATAGAATATTCAAAAATATGTGATGTAAATATATACACATATTTTAAAAAAAAATTCACATATGTTATATGTTATATATTTTATAGAAAATTATATAAAATATGTATATACATATTTTGCAACTAATATAATTAGTTAATAATAATAATCTTTAAATCTCATCAAGTAAAATTATTATTGCTATATTTACTGTAATGATAATGCTAACAGAAAGAGTAAATTCGACATAATATTATAAATATAGTTATTATATTAGTGATACTTTTATGTTTTGCAAATTTTGCAATGTTAGTATTGATCATAAAAACAAATCTAAAGTTGATCAATATTTAAGAATTAATAAACATAAAAATAATAAAATTACTATAGAATGAAAAAATCAATTAAATAATATACTACAACAATAAAGTATACTTGAAACCTTTGAATATACATTGTTAAAAAAGACAAACTTAATTTGAAATTAGTTAAAATTTTTATTATAGCTAATATTCCTTTAGAAAAGGTAAAAATAGTATGTTTTAGTATATTTATATTAGTATTTATTTTTTAATTTGAGATCCAGTTATAGATCAATAAAATTTATTAACCAAAAAGGTGGTAAAATTATATAGATCATTTAATAAAAAGTTTCTAATCAATCTTTTTTTTATATATAAGGTATCATTATATTTGATTAACTTTATGAAAATATTATATCATCTGTCAACAGGAAAACTAGAATTTTCAGATGTATTATTTATTTTCTTTTTAGTAAAAATTAAAAAAAACATTTTTTTATAGTGATGGCAAATTCTTGAGTAAGAATCTTTTCAATTATTAAAAACAAATGTATTATTTTATGAATTATTACAATTCAAAAGATAAGTAAACTTATTTATTTTTATTTTTACAAGTTTTATTACAATTTGTAAATAACTTTTGAAGTTTTTTTGGATTTTTATAAATTATTAATTTAAGACTCTTATTGCTGCTTTTTTACAATATTCTTGAATGGTTTTTGATATCCAATTTTGAATTGTAGTTATTTTTGGAATATCCTCTTTATTAATTTTATCTTCTTATACATATTTAATCAATTCATGTTGTATATCTTAAGCAGTGTAACAATTACTTTTATCAGCATTGCCTACTATAAAATATCCTTTTAATAATACTCTCATTTGATTTGTCATTCTTTTTTCTGCTCTTTTTTTACCAAATTTTGATTCTTTTTTAAGATCTAAGCAATTTGTAATAGATACGCTAATATTTACTAATATTTCAACTTTTTCTTGTTTGCAAACAGTATTAATTTAGGCTGCTGAACTACTAAATCACCACAATATTCTACAGATTGTTATACATAAATTCAAATTTTAAGTATTTTAAAAATATTAATTATTGCTGATTAATCTTATTTGATTTTGTATATTTCATTTCTTTATATAATTTTATTTCTAGATTTGTTACTAATTTTTTTATTTTCTTTTTCATTTAACTCTATTTTTTTTAGATTGTAATTTTTTACAAGATTGTTTTATAAGGCATTCTGGTTGAATATCTAATATTAAAAAAAAATTTGTCAAACAACAAAATCATGTATTCTATAATTCAAATTTTATAATATATATTTTGGATTAGGATATAGAATTTCCCAATTAGAATATGGAATAGTAGGAGTAAATATGTTTGGATTAGGTTTTTTAATTTCATATTTTTACAATTTTTCTAACTATATAGAAGTAAATATAATCTAAGATCTAAAATTAGGAATAGATCATGCTAATATACATTTTTCAAATTCTCTAGAAGTTGGTCATTGCTATTCAAACCAATGGGAATTTTCTGATAATGTATTACTTCTATTTCCTTTATTAATTTGTAAATAAATAATAAATATTATATAAATACAAAAAGTTTATTGAAAATAAAAAAATAAATATTTTATAAAATTTTTATAAATACATAAATAAATATATATCACTATTTTGATTAGATATTAATTAAGCTACAGAAGTTCCTCAAATATCCTGAATTGCATTTTCAATATCTTTTTCTATTTGAATATCAAATCCCAATTGAACATAATGATTCATTGTATGTGAGATTTATAAATTAATTTTAATAATTTAGTAACTTCATTATATATTATAAATATATAAAAGTAATAAGACTTACTTGTGTATAATATGAATTAATTACAGTTTTTGTTTCACCTGCTTTAAGAAAAACCTATTTGTTAACTTTTATATTATACCATTTTGATCAAAAGCCATAATTATCATCAAATTTGCATTATAATAATAATTACTATTATCAGATATTATAATAACAGATTCTGTTTGTGAATCTAAGTTTTTAAGAATAATATAAAGAGAAGAAGCTGTAGACTATAAATAAGGTTGCTAGGTGAAATCAAGAATTTAAACAAACGTCTAAATAGTAAAGGTAAAACTTAGTTAAATTATATTAAAATCTTATTAAAAAATCTGCAAAATTCAGAAAATGATAAAACTATATCTAAGGTTGCTGGATGAAATCAAAAGTTTAGACAGACGTTTAAATGATAAAGGTAAAACTTGGTTAAATTATATTAAAATCTTATTAAAAAATTTGCAAAATTCAGAATAAGATAAACCTATATTAAAGTTTATAAAAATAGCGAAACTATATCAAACACTTAGTAAAAATTTAGCAAAACTAAAAGTTTAAACATTTGGCCAAATCCAAAATGAGTTTAAATAAGCAATCTTAACCATAAATCTTGTTGAGTATCTGAAAACTAATTAAACTTAAAGTTTAATTGAATTAGATATTATTATATATACTAATACAGAATGTAATGACCAATCCTTTTTGCCAAACCAATCACTTTTTAAAAAATTTTTGAAACTTAATTTTAAAATTAAATTATTTTAAAAATCTTTTTAAAAACTTAAAATATTTGTTAATAAAGTTGATAAAAAATATATTAAACTTTATTTTTTTATATAGTAATGATAGTAATGATATTACTAAAATTAATATTTAACATTTTATAAAAAATTATCACTTTTTTTTAATTTCGCAGGCAAATTTGCCTGCTATACAGTTTAAGGAATAGTGGAACTTAGATGAGAGCTAAAATTTAAGGTATTATTAATTAACATAAATATTAAAATATATTGTTATAAATTCTAAAGCATTTTTAAAGTCTACCAATCTTTTTTTCTTCTATTACTTTATTTTTTTCTTCTTCTTCCTCTTCTTTGTTTTATTATTTAATGTTTCATAATCTAATAAATTAGAATTAATATTATCATCTCTTTCTAATCTTTTTATATAGAAACTTATATTAAAGATAACACCTTTTTTATAGAATTTAATTATACTTATTATTTTATTTTGCAAAATATTTGTGATGAAAAATATGTTTATATATCAATATTATACTTTCTTTTTTTATCTAAACATTTAAATTATTGATTATATTAATTTTGATATATAGGAGACGGTCAGTAAAAAAGGGGGAAA